AGATAGATAGATAGATAGACAGACAGACAGACAGACAGACAGACAGACAGACAGACAGATAGATAGAACATATTTAAAATATATTTTGAAGGTGAGTTGCTTTTGTTGTTCTACATACCTTAAACATAATTTGTGCATTCAGCTGACATAACTTAATTAGGGGTGTATTAACTAGAGAGGTACTTTGGTATAATAATTAAGGTTAATATTAGTAAGCTAGAATAAGGGCAAAAAGGCAACAAATCCACAAATAAAAATCAAAACAATGGGCAGAATCCATGTTTTCTTCCAAAGCAAAAGAAGATTCTTTGAGCGGAACCTGTTTTTCACAGGAAAAAAAGACATCTGAATCCAAGTATTTAAAAAAATCTACAGGGAATTGCAAGCATACTTAAGCTGCATGAAAGAAAAGCTGTCTCGACCTAAGGCAGCATTGAGCAGTAATAACTTCAAGCATGTTGACATTTGGGCTTTACTAGAATGTTTTATTGACACACATTTTCTGTGCTTATTGCTGAATTTAAGTAATACATTTTATATGTGTGATTTTTGTTTAGTTGCCCAAGGCAGACATTTAGTCTGGCAGGGTATACATTAAACCATTATAACAAATGATGCTCCTTAAGACTTTCTATTCAAGGTCAACAAAAGTGAAGAGGGTTCTTGTGCTTTAGACATATGGGATGCCTTGACAGATTGAACTCTGACAGTCTGACATAAGAGAAAGTGCTTAATAGAACACAGAACACAAAAGCAAATCTCGCCACTTTAGACGGTCATCTTTACCCCCACGCTCTCTAAGTCCTTCAAGAACACCAATGGGGCAATCTGACCTTGGAATCAATACAATCAAAAGAAAAAAAGAGCATTACATACATAAGAACAAGTACCGTATTTTTGGAGTATATTTTTGGAGTATATTTTTCTCTCAAAAAAGAGGCTGAAAATCTGGGTGCACCTTATACATACAGAACTTTTTGCCTCCTGAAACCCCACCCCTTCACCAAAATGGCCGTGCAGAGCCTTTAGGAGCCTTGCAGAGTGCTCCTGGGGGATAGGGAGGGCAGAATTGATTTCTGCCCTCAATTTTTCCCACCCCTCAGCCCCCAGGAGCACTCTATAAGCCTCCTAAAGGTTATTCATGCCCTTTTTTTGAAAAAGAAAATGAGCCCATTTTTGCAAAAACTGGCCCTTTTTTGCTCGTTTGGGCCCCCCCCCAGGAGCACTGTACAAGCCTCCCCGCATTCATGCCCCCTTTTTTGAAAAAAGGTTGTTTTGGGGAGATCTGCAGAGTGCAAAAACTTTTTTGTTTTAATTTGCCTCTTCAAAACCTTGGTGCATCTTATACTCTGAAAAATATGGTATATGTTTTGACATCACCTAAGAAAATTCCGTACTTTCTCTTTTCACCAGCTTTTTGAATGATTTGCTTAATAAATTCATTCATTCTAGAAAAACCCCAGTCCAGATGATCCTGGGAGGAGGGTGGTGAAGAAGATATTTCTGACATTACAAAAAGAAGGGCAAACTATTTCTTCCCTTTTTTTAAAGATTATGCTTGTGGTTATTTATATAGCATTTGCCAAAATCTAAGATGAAAGCAGCCCACGTTGAGAGGTTTTTGCTCCTAGCAAAAGAGAAAATTTAAGACGATACAAAGAAGAGAAAGGGATATTTTACAGAAATCAAAGCATACCTCTCTTCAGCTTCTGCAGAATAAGTTCTAGTTCCTGCTGGGCAGAACTGAAGCGGCTGTTCAAAGAGCAAAAGCTATCTTCAATGAAGTCTGGAGAAGCAGGATGAGATGTCAGCTCCCTGCACTTGATCTTCAGATGTTCCATTTGAGGAGTCAGACTTAAGAGGTTTGTGAGTTCCCTCTAAGAAAGACAGAGTGCCAACACGGTTATTTTTAATGTAACATTTTTAAAGATTCCAACAACCTCATTTCTATGGCAGTTTACAAATATGATTAAAATTACAATATAACATATTTAGATATATATTGTTTATCTAAGTATTTATTTAAATTTATTTATTTAGATTATTTATTTAAATATATAAATATTTAGATAAAAACATCATTGTCACAATAGTATAATAACAAAAGCAAATAAGACCAGAGCAAAACAGCATTCATTAAATCTGAAATACATCCATATAATGACTAGAGAAATACTATTGTCCATATAAGTGCTTGAAAGACAATAATATAAACTCTAGATTCATGATAGCGAACCTATGGCACACGTGCCACAGCTGGCATGCCCTCTCTGTGCCCTAGTTTAGTTCCACCACACATGTGTGCACGCCTCCCACTGGCCAGCTGGTCATCGGGTTTCTGACGTGCATCTGCAGGGCCATGGGATGTGGGGGGTGCATGCACAGGGATGGGGCACATGTGGGGGACGTATGTGCATGCACAGGCAGGGGCATTTGTGGGGGTGCACTTGCATGTGTGGGGAGGAGGGAGGCACATACGCAGGGTGCACATGTGCAGGGCTGCATGCACATTGCATTTTGGGGGGTTCGGTGCATGCATGCACACTTGTACATATGTTTGCACTTTGGGCACTTGCTCCAGAAAAGGTTAGCCATCACTGATCTAGATGAACCTCTCTCAGGAGAACATTCCACGGATGAAGTACCATAATGGAAAAAGCTTTTCCTCTTTGAGCAATCTTGCCTCACCTGGTGGTATACCTGAGCAGACTTTTTCAAGATCATCTTCAAGTCCAGGCACATAAATATGAGGCAACAACTGTACTCTAGTGGTATAAGTCAAACATAAATAATTGTATTTTGTGTACCAAAGTTGTCAAGCTTACCTGGCACAATTCCTGCAGCACTGCTAATGGTTGATGCTCAACTACGGCAGAATTGTCTTGCAGCCATGTTTCTTTTTCGCTCACAGACTTATCGAGTTTACACAATTCACTAAAGTAAATATTGATTTCATCCTGATATTGCATTTTTCTAGCCACTTCTTCTAAGTAGCAAGCAGCCCCTTTCCATTCTGCCAAGAGCCTCTTAAGGGTATTTCCTGTTTCTTCAGTAGGAAGCCCTTCTGAACAAAGAAAAGGAATCAACTCAACAAGTTGCAATGCATGGAAGATTTTATTTCAGCTCTATTCCAGATATAAATGCTCAAGCAGGATTTTGAGCCCCAGGTTTGCGATGGATGAGTTCACTTATCGTTCTAAGACACAATAGGCTAGTTCATATCTGAACAAACAAACAAAACACATTATGGCTAAGCATCGTGCAAGGGACAGGTCAAACAATATCTTTTTAGTAAAGCATGTTTATATTTAGCACCCATCATTTGACACATGGCTTCATTTAACTAAATTCTCACTTCTTAATGAAAAGGACAAAAGCAGACAAAAACATTGTCATAAGTGTACCTTTGCATTAAGAAATTACACAAAGGCTTACGACTGATCAACAGAACTGAATACATGAATATTAGCAAGGGGAAAAGTCACACATCTTTTCCTTATTAGGAAAGATATTAATCTGTGTCTGGATGTTTCAGTTTTACTGCTGAAATCTTCTAACTGGTTTAATTAAAAATCATAAATATTAATAACAGTTGTGTGGCTGCCTGAATTTCGCTGGGTCAAGACCAGAGGTGGGTTCCTACTGGTTCAGACTGGTTCGGCTGAACCAGTAGTGGTTTGGCGGCCTGGGTCACTGGAACCGGCAGCAACCCAGGCCTGCCATACCCCCGAACCAGTTCTCCTATGGGGCTGCCATCTTGATTTTCAGTTCTGAGCATGTGCAGAACAATTGTATTTGCACAAATTTAATTATTTTCTTTTTTTTACATTTTGTACCTGTGCAGACCTGTTTTGTTTTTTTTTTGCAAAAGTGCATGTGTGCATAGCACGCACCTGGCATGCACAAGCGAAGCGTACGCGCACAAAACTTTTGTGGGCACTGAACCAGCAGTAATGACCATCAAAATATTCCATTCCATTCAATTGCTTCGCCCTGCTGTATGGCTGGTTCCTTCCTATTTATGTCTGCTGCCTTGAACAATTTGAGAGAAGAGCACAGCTTGAGAATGAGGAACCTTAGTTGAATTCCAGATGTTACTAAACTAAAATTCCCAGAATCCCTCAACTCTGACATGATCATGGGGTTGCTGGCCTCCAATTTATCAATATCTGGGTGGGACCATAATTTCCTAACCCTGACTTAGGAATAGTGATTGAATACCTATTATAATACAAGCTGGAAAATGGAAAAACAAGACTGAATGGTCTATTGTTAAAATGCACTTTCTCTACAGCGTTTTATTTTTTCCTCAAAACAAAGAAAGATACAAAACCTCAATGAATTTACATTAATTAAGTCCTGTCTTCTCAAAGTTATAGAACAATTTTCATTTCGGTCAATTAAACACTAGTATATCAATGCAGGCTTTCGTAGTCATTGTCTGATCTTGATAAACGTTTGGATTAATAAACTATGATCTAATTATCTGGTATCCTGATATTTTGCCAGCAATTGTGTCTGACAACTTCAGAAGTGAAAGTGGTCTGCACTTGTTGACAAATCCACTTAGAGATTTAATTTTGTAACAAAAGCAAGAACTCAGTCAGTTCCTGCTCTGTTGCATCTGAGCTGTTGAGGAGTTTGCCACAAAGCAGATCACGTTCACCTCTGAAGGTGCCAGCCACTGTTACTGGCAAAACATCAGGACACCAGATAGAACAATTAGAACATAGACTATATAGCCTCAACACCATTAAATTATACCTAGCATTATCACAAATTTCCATTAACACTCATCAAGATGAATTCATACATTCTAAAAATTCCAAACATGAACAGGAGAAAATAATTGAAAAGGCATGTGCTTCTCCCTTCCATTATATCATAACATTACCTTTTCCCATTTGGTCTAACAGATTTTCTCCAGTCTCTTTCAATTCATTCAACATTTTATCTTCTTCTACTCTTTCTTCTTTTATTGCCTGTCAATCAAAGCCGTAAAACTTAAAATGAAAACCTAAACATTTAAAAATTCCACTAAGCAAAATTGGGCCTTTTTGTTCCACCTCTGCAATTAGTAACTAGTAAGTCTAACTTTTCAGTAGAATTACAGCACTAAATAATAAACCAGATGAGGATGCATTTACTGTATATCAAAATGATTTTCACAGGTCATATTTTCATAAAATCATCATACATCACAAACTGAAAATTAATGAAGTCTTCAAACGCTATATCCTCCTCAGATATCTACATCTTTTTGAGCATCTTATCACACTCTGAAACTCCACTGTCAGGCAATTATCACTTATTAAGTAATCTTTACTTAAACTAAACATTGTGTCTCCAGATTAGTCATTGATTTTTCTGTCTCTCTCTGATGTTACTCTGATATGTAGATCAAATCAGAGTGACCAGAAAACTTAAATGAGTGTTTGTAAAATAATGTGTCAGGATCCTTGTAAACAGGCTATTCTGGTTCATGGGAAAGAATCCATTAAACTTTACAAGTGTCAAATGCTCTGGAAGTACCCTCCAAATATATATAATTATTACAGCAGCAAGTAACATGATTCTTTTAATAGCAACATTCCAGATTGCAATTTTTCACAAAGTGTAGCTGCTATAATCAAACATTTTGAGAAAATGATCCAAGTGATATTTCACAATTTCCATTTAGGATATTTAAAAAAAGACAAAAGCTGTACAGTCCCCCACCCGCACCATGGGTCATAAACAACTCTATGATATCAGACAAAATTTCACATAGGAGGTATCTCTGTGATGATATTCTTAATTAAGCCATTTAAAATGAATTTAAAACAATTATTGTCAACATTTCCATTTTTTAGATCTTCTCTCCACAGGGTGGACCGGAAGGTTATTAGATCTCTGAAATCATGACTTTGCTTTATTTTCTGTTTTATTGAAAGAATTTCTGCAGGGTCCATATTTAAGAACAAGATTTTTCCTAAAATTGCTCTTCCTTCTCCAAAGTAAAAAGGGAATTTACTACAAGGGAGGAAACCGGAAAGAAGCCAGAAATGCCTATTAAACCTCTAAGTATTGCCTGTCATTAGTAAAAGGGCATTATTTGTAGCCAGTATAGAACAATTATGTTAGCCAAAAAGATATTTATAAATAGAACTCAATTTAGATGAAATTTTCCTATCAGACTCGACTTCCAGCTGTTAGCAAGACAATGTGTTCACAGAAAATGCCTTCCTATTTTTCTCTTTACCTTCAGTTTTTCTTTCATGCCTGAAGTCTCTCTCATCTTCTTGTACTCTTTGATCTCTATGGCCTGAATGGCTGCTTTTGATTTTAAAATCCCATCCAACAACTCCGCAATTTCAACATCGAGCCTACTGTAAGAAGCAGAATAATGTTTGGAATAATTTCTCCCTACCACTCAAAATTCAAAGATCTGAAAACGTTTTCTCCTCCCCAACTTTCCAGTTAAACCATTATCTTTTGTCTAAAATGTATTATTCCATTTGTTGAAGGTTACAGGCTGACCAACATACAATGTTGGTGGGAACTAACTAAGTAACATTTCCTAGATGAGGGGGGAGGAGACATCTTGTCTTGAAGAAAATAGTTGCATTCTCACTATATCCTCCACTCTCCTGTTCCTCATCCTAAAAGTAGTATCCTCAACTTGCTGCCTCCTTCAAATATATATGCCTGAGAGTTCCATTATTTCCAAACATAATAATGGGAGGAAACAATATATTCAAACTATGTTCAGTTAGACCACAGGTGTCAAACTCACTACATCACGTTGCCATCACGTGATGTTTTACAATGTTTTTCTCATTCACACAGCTGGGGTGAGCGTGGCCTGTGCATGACGCATCAGACACACGGGCCTCCAGTTTAACACCCCTAAGTTAGACTGGTCTCTGGCAGGCCAAGAAAGTGCAAGTGCAGAAACTATTGCAAGTTTCTTTTATTTTCTGAAAAATGGCAGTAAGAAGATTCTTACAGCTGTTGTTGGACCAGCCCTCATCCCCATGACCAAAGAAGATGGCTCTCCTTGAAATTGGGAAGCATCACACCCAGAGGAGCAAGGAGATAAAACGCCATCTATTAAAAGCTTAAAGCAGCTTGTCCAGTGCTCCGTTCCCACTGTTAATTCTAAAGGAACTGACTCATTTCATCTGTAATCAACACACCCACCTAGTAAAAATAACCTGAGGTATATTCTGGACTAAGTCTTGATTTTCTTAACACCAATTAGTTGAATTAACTCTGTTAACTCACCCACATTAAACCACAAGCCAAGTTAACAAACCCACTGAGTAGCTTTATATAATACGCTAAACAAAAAGTGGTGTGGCATGAAGGGACCACACCCAATGTGTGAAGGAAACAAATGGATCAGCCTATAAGGAAAAGTAATGGCACTGGAAGCAAATACTTTTTGTTAATAATATTGTCCTACGTTCAGTGAGAAAGGAGTGATGTTCCCTGACCAAGAAGTCATCTTACCTTTTTCTCATTTCAGTATCCAGGCCAGTTTGCCGCCTCTTTGGTAGAGGTGGGGGAGATTGTTCCATTTGAATATCCTGGACTGTTTTTTGTTCCTTGACCAGGATTGTTTCAGTGAGAACATTCTGAGAAATCTGGGGCATTCCAACTTTTACAATTGCCTCAGAAACCTAAAGTAACAATGGAGACAGGGATCAATCTTGATTAAATGAAACTAGAAAAATAATCAAAAAAATCCAATGAATGACAACTTTTAAAATCACAAATGCAATTATCTATCATATTTTTCCAAGTATAAGATGCACTCTCCCCCAAATGAGGGTGAAAATTTGGGTGTGTCTTATACACTGAATGTAGCCCTGCCTACCTGCTGGCCCCCACCCTTTGGCCTCTGCTTCCCAGCAATTTGCCTCTTTGCAGCAAACAGCAAACAGCCTGTTTCAGCTTCAGCTTCAGCACAACCTCTGCGCGTTCCATTTTCAACCTCCGCATGCCCCATTTTCCACTCATTCCGATCCCTGCCGCCTGGAACAGGAGGAAAATGGGGCACGTGAAGGCTGAAAATGGGGTGAGTGGAAGCTGAAAACGGGATGCGGAGGCCAAAAATGGGGCACACAGAGACGGCAATAGGCTATGGCAATCCCCGCAGCCTGAAACATCTGATCATCAGGAGGCCAATTCAGCCGACAAACAGCTGCTTATGCTAATCAGGCTGTGCTGAAACTAAAACTGAAAAGGGCTGTTTGTTGCAAGGAGGCAAATTGCTGGGAGGCAGAGGCAGAGGTTTTTTTCTTGTGCTAATCAGGCTGTGTTGAAACTGAAACTGAAACAGAATGTTTGGTATTTGCTGCAAGGAGGCAAATTGCTGAGAGGCAGGGGCAGATATCTTTTCTCGTTTAAGCTAGGTGTGTTTTATACTTCGGAGCATCTTATACTCTGAAAAATATGATTAAAGAAGCACAATATTCATATCCAAATGAAGCCCCAACCAAAACATAAAGAGAAGGTAGTATTTGGATGGTACCTGATTAGAGTAATCCTCAAGTTTCTGAACTAAGTTGTCCCATCTCTGTGTGAGTTCTTCAAGATTACTGTCAATTTTTTTTAATGCCTTCTTGTTGTTCAGGAGTTGTGCCAAATCCTGGGTCACCTCATTCAGCTGCTCCAACATCTGGCGCTTCTTTCCCATGTCTTCTTTCAGACTCTGACAGTGAAAAAACAACAGCCATGCCATTTTAGAGAAATGTCTTTTGCTCAGATATCCGACAGGAACAGCTACTTTCTTAGAATGTAAAATGTCTGTAAATTTGTAAATTCCAACAGAATAGGAATTATGGACAGAGAAAGATGAGCTTCCAGAACATTCATATCCATTCCACTGGAGACTATTTATTTTGAATACTTGCTAGAACAGCCTGTTTTCCAATGGACTGTACCCAAATTCACAACCAACAAGCTGAAAATATGGGAACTGAAGCCCAATATGGGTAGTCCTCACTTACCGATTGCAAGTAGCGGACTCCATCACTGAGCAATGCAATTATAAAAAGTGAAATATCATGGGACCATGACCAATGTTCAATGTCAATTCAGATTGTGATAATTAGTCAAATCACCCACAATTGCTAAGCATGATGTCACATGAACATGACTTGTGATTTCCTGCTGGTCTCCCCAATGACTTTACTTGTCGGAAGCCATCTGTTAAGGTTGCAAATGGTGATCATGTGACATCAGGATTCTGCAACCATAGTAAATGCACTGTGCTGCCAAGCACCCAAATCACAACCACCTGAAATAGCTTAAGTTTGAAGAGCAGTTGTAAGTCTCTTCTTTCAATATCTTTGTAACTTTAAATGACTGCTGATCAAGGCAATCAATAAGTGAGGACTACCTATAGTATGTATCCTGGAAACAGGAGGTTTGGAGAAATGAGGCTGCAATGTTATTTTGAGTGTTTACAGAAATAATGAGTTCCAGGCCACTAGTACCATTCAGAGGTTCCAGTGCATTGAATCTTGAAATATTAGTAGAATTTCCAGCATAAGAAGAGATCTTGCCATTTAAAACATTATGGGCAATATCACTACAGAAGCATTCCTTGAGTAAAAACCAAAATTGTTTCAGAATGTGGGAAAGTTCTTGTTCATGATCTATGCCTGCAACAGAGACAACTTATGCCTTAAAAATCATTCTCTGACTCTCTCTCTTTTCCTCCTTCCCTCCCTCCCTTCCCCTTTCTCACTCTGTATGTGTGTATGTAGTATGATAAGTAAGGCTTATTTGATTATTTATTAATTTATTAGATTTACAATACAAGAAAGTAATACTTACTGCCAGCTTTCGAACATTTGCACTCAGCTCTGTTTGATCTTTGAAGTTGCATGTCTGTATTCTGCTTAAAGCCTCTTCTTTTTCAACCAACCAGGCTTTCAACATACACTGAAGAAAAAAGTACATCCATAAATATACTTACTTAATTCCCCTATATTTTATACACCACCACCATTGCATCATACATAAACAAGATCTCAGAATCATAACAATAATCAAGCTGACTTTTAAGTTACAATCACACAAAATTATGGGTTGTTTCCATTTTTAACGTAATAGGTATCAAGCTACATACAACGACCATGACTGGGTAGAAATGTCTTATAATTCAATTGCTAGATATTCTGGAGATAATAGCAATAGCACTTAGAATTATATACTGCTTCAGTGCTTTACAGCTCTCTCTAAGCCATGGGTCCCCAACCTGTTGGCCCCCAGGCTGCATGAGTGGCTGACCAGTGCGTGCACATGTGTACATGTGCACACACACACACACACCACTCACAGCAGCATCGCCGCAAGTACTGGACACTCACAACCCTGTTCGTGTGCGCTTGCAGCCCCATTCGCATGTGCACATAAAGGGGCCTGTCACTCCCCCCTCAAGCTGCCAACCCAGAAAGGTTGGGGAACTCTGCTCTAAGCGTTTATAGAGTCAGCATATTACACTCAACAGTCAGGGTCCTCATTTTACCAACCTCGGAAAGATGGATGGCTGAGTCAATCTTGAGCCATTCAGGATCGAACTCCTGGCAGTAGGAATGCAGAGTTAGCCTGCAGTACTGCATTCTAACCACTGCACCACCATAGCATTAAACCCAGCCCAACCAAAAATTATGAAAAAATGTAATTCAGAGAAAGCAAAATGAATTTTCCCCAAAACATTTAATTCCTATTTTCTACTCTGTTTATTCCTACTCAACAACAGAAAAATGAGGTCAACGTTAAACTCTGGTAAATCTTAACTTTCATGGATGAGATTAAGTAAATCATAATTTTCCTTAGCTCCTTGGGAGACAAGCAGGACAAAAATGTACATAGAAGGAAAAGGAGAACATGAAAGATTATGAAAACAGAGACAAAACTGAGTAATAAGAAGTAAGAAGCAGATTTATTATGAATCTGACCTTTCATTTGATTCAAGGACTGAACCAAATGGGTCTGAACCAAAGGTCAACCAACGTCTGAACCAAATTCATCTGGTTCAAGGTCTGAACCAGACCTTTCATTTTTGTCCCATATAAGCAAATGTTTTCTTCCTCCTTATAGTTTTTTGAACCAAGTTATGGCAAGGATCAGTCTGCTTTTCATCTGTGTGCTGGTTTCGCTCAGTCTTCCCAAATACTATTTTTTATTAAGTTATTAACTGTCATTAACCTTAAAATTATCTTTAAGTTAATTCAATTAATTCTGTTTGATCCTCACATTATTTATAGCAGGAGAGGTAAGATATCTCATACTGCAGTTGCAATATTGACATCCACTATAAGGTATAATGTCTAGGTATATCCTGTTTAATTGAGTTCTTCTGAGATCATCTTTTCTTATGTAGACATGATTTAAATCATAGATTTATAAATCTATGATTTACATTTATTCTCTACCATATAGACAGCAAGGCAGCTACTTTTTTTGTTTTGATAGTAAAAAAACAAACAAAACTTTTAGACACTATAAATTTTATTCAACCATAAATACCATTACTTGGTGCAATTTTCTGAAATAAAAACTACATTTTTATCAAATCAGGCCCAAACATCCCATATAATGATTATAGCATTAGCATTTAGACTTATATACTGCTTCACAGCCCTTTCTAAGCAGTTTACAGAATCAGCCGACAACAATCTGGGTCCTCATTTTACCAACCTCGAAAGGATGGAATGCTGAGTCAACCTTGAGTCATTCAGAATCGAACTCCTGGAGTTAGCAGTGAGTTAGCCTGCAGTACTATATTCTAACCATTGTGCCACCATAGGTCATTATTTTATGCATTTCAGTATTGTTCTTCTGTTTGGACTAGAAACAGGGAAATCTAAATTAAACCCATTCTCAGCGATGGAAGTTCACTTAATGACTTTGGGCCAGTCACACTTACTACAAGGACTACACAAAGTAGTAGTTATAATGGGAAAAAACTGGAGACGGATTAGTGGGTCCCTACCGGTTTGAACCGGTTCAGCTAAACTGTTAGTTGTTTGGTGGCCTGGGTCGCTGGAGCCAGCAGCGACGCAGGCCTCCCATGCCCCCGAACAGTGCCTATAACACTGCCATCTTGTTTTTCAGTTCTAGGCATGAGCAAAACAATTTTAATTTCACTGCCGTGCATGCATTGCGCATGCGTACGTGCAACACGCATCAAGCACACATGCACACAAGAGTGAACCAGCAGTGCCTACCAGAACCCACCCCTGATTGATATGTATAGCTCCTGGAGGGAAGGTAGGGTAGAAATCTAATCAATAAATACATGAATATTTGCCACTAATAATAAAATGGCCAGGTTTTGAAAAGAAAACATTTTGAGGGGAAAACACATCATTTATTAAAATATCCTTACATATAAATATTTTAAAAGACTGGCAGAACTGTTTAACCCTCATTTGTTCTAATGAGTCTTAAAAATGCCATTCTTTTTTTTTAATGTCAAAAATGAACTAGGACCTCAAAAACCAATTAAGGTTTTTAGAGAACAAAAATAGGATTCTTATCACCTTGGAGAGTAAAAAGTTCATCTTTGACCTAATAGATGCTTTTTGTCTGATTCAGATGAAAACTACAGTTTAATTTTACACATGAATAATGGCATAGCTTCGGGAGATTAAAAAAAGTTAAAAATATGAAAGGAAATCAATTCCCTTTTCAGATTTTTGTAATGTAGAGAATCTATATATTACTAAAATTCTCAGGTGTGTAACCTTTAGCTGGGCAAATAAATGCATCAAAGGGCAAAACCTTTCAACTAAGATACCTCAAATCGATTAACTTATAGAGTGTATGGACTCATTATTCCTGAGGGAATGAAATTTGGCAAAATTGTGACAGCTTCAGCATAGCAAGGCGAATTCTGCTTCAGTGCCATCGCCACATTGTTGCAGACATGTGATCCTCATTTTCAACAATTGGACAACCATTTGTCTGAAATTGTATAGGGCCATGATGGCAAACCTATGGCACATGTGCCAGAGGTAGCACACAGAGCCCTTTCTGTGGGCACAGTTGCCGTCACCAGCTGCTCTTCTGGTTTCACAGAGCCCTATCTGTGGGCACATGTGCCATTGCATTGCCAGCTGGTCCTCTCGTGGGCTGGAGCATCAGAAACCTGAAGACCAGCTGGCTGGCGTGTGCATGCGCCCCAGCCAGCTGGTCTTCGGGTTTCCGGTACTCCGGCACGCGCACGTTCCAGGAGTTTGGGCACTTGGTGCAAAAAAGGTTCACCATCACTGGTGAATAGGATTTCATGCTTGAACAGGTGGTTGGACTAGAAGACCTCCAAGATCCCTTCCAACTCTGTTCTTCTGTTACTCTCTTAACATTCACTTATAGCTTTCTGGCCACTTACACAATCGTTCACTACCTCACTTCCCAGCAGCAGTCATTTTCCAACCAGAAGGGAAAGTGCAGGCTACTCAGGACTCACTCAACGAGAGAAGCAGGAATTAGTGGGATTACCATCACTAACCTGTTCTTCCAACAATTCTTGCCAGGAGGTATTAATCTCTTGCAATTTGAACCATTGTTCCTCAGTCCAACGGCAAACCGCAGTCCAGCGTTCACCAAGTCTCTGGAAATAACATTAAAAAAAAATCTTATATTATACCGTTTCCTCTGAACTTGAAATTGAAATTAATAGACTTACAACTACTTAGCCTTTTGTATTATTTTTATCCAAAACTACTAACTTTGAAATGGCCTCTCAATAAAGATCAAATCTAAGAAACAAAACTGTACCATTTAAGTGGACTGCTATGTTTGGAAGATTCTAATAATCAGTCTAAGCTAACTGGACAGAATCTAGATTTATGGATATTTATTTAATCTCAACATGATTGAAATACGGTAAAATTGAGCTGTGCAACTGTGAAGAGTTTCTGAAGGGTATTCAGCACACACCCGTCAGCATCTCCCTGAACCAACTTGTTCTTTCTCAGATCACACTGCATATACAATCCTGCAAAAAGATGTAATTTCCTGAAATAATTGCTGACAGTTGCTATTCAAGTGTTCCTGAGTGTTCCAATCATCTTTTCCCATTCTAATTGGGATATCTTCTCAGTTACAAGTAATTCTTTTTTTGTATTCAATGTTGACCAACATCTGGAAACTTCGCAACCATATTTGATACATAGCCATCACATTATTCCCTTTCAAAATAAACAATATGACTGCCATTTGACTGCCATTCTAAACACTACCCAGCATATGTATACACATCTGTTCATGAAGTATTTTTTAAATTTTCACAAATAAATATTCAGCTTATACTTAAATGAACATCTAAACATCTTGGATACCTAGAACTTATTTAAAAAATCTTGAATAGTTCATGCTGTGCAACTCATATATATATTATTATATATAATATAATAATTTTCTTAAATACACACATTTTTATTGCTGTGGACTGTATGAAAATACAAGTTCTATTTAACCAGGTACATATGGTTAAATCCATCTTATCTATATCTGCATAAGAAATCTCGCACTTCTTCAAGAATTAATATTTATTTATTTTATATAGCCACCCATCTCACATGTAACTCTGTGCAGGTTACAATAAAATAGCTAGAAAGTCAGAGAAAAAAAGAGACTGAAAATTATCAGATATGGGAAAAATGGTATAGGTGGTTGGAGGAAAGAAACAAGGGTCAATGAAAGAAGCCAATAAAGCCCAAAAGTAAAAGTTAAGGAGGATTGCCATGCACTCAAGAGAGTTTAAACTTATTAGAGATAATCACCCAATATACCAGATAGATAAGTAAAATAAGAGGGTTAAAAATGGTGAAACTCAAACGAAATATATTAGAAGGGGAAATAACATAAGGAGAATTGCACCGATTTGAAACTGCTATAAGAAGGAACATAAAGTTCCAATGTATTGTGTAAATGTAGTTTATGTCTAAGTTTTGTTACTGTGCATTTTGTATGTTTGAAAATAAAAAATAATAATATATATTTTTTTAAAGGCACCAAGAAAAAAAAATAGCTAGAAAAACAATAAAATACAAATAAAACAAAATACATGGCTGAGCGTCAAATAATAATCATTGACAAAGCCAAGATATGGGATATATCACAATGCCAGAACCCCAAGGTCACACACAAAACCACTTTGTAAAGGCCTTTGGAAGGACAGCAGGGTCAGGGCTCACTTATTCTCCGGTGGGTTGCTGCTGGCATTACTGCCGGTTCAGCGCACAAACAAACTGGCACTTGTGTGAGCATTTGCACCTAAAAAAGGTCTGTGCATCCGCACAACATTAGAAAAGGGGAAAAATACATTTTTGCAATGAAGATTGTTCTGCGCATGTGCAGAACTGAAAATCAAGATGGCGGCACCGACGATAGAACCAGTTCGGGGGCGTGGCAGGCCGAGTTGTTACCTACTCGGCCAAACTGGTACAAACTGGTAGGAACCCACCTCTGCGTGGCATACTATTACACAGGACAAGCAGAGAGCAGAAAAGACCCCCCTCCTTTTAGCTGGGCCCCAACTGCCAACATTCTTTAGCCAACATCACCTGGAGCATGCCTCTCCTGCTAGACCAGGTGGGATATGTAAAAACAATTGGGACAGTACAAAAAATCAACATAATTAATTGACCATACAACCACTACAACATATATCGTTACTATTTATTAAGTTTTGTGACAAGCAAATGTTGATTCAGGGAGATTCAGATTGAAATCTTCCCTAACTCATGAACATCCACTGAGTGACTTCAACTAGTTACTCTCAAGCCAAGCAGGTTGTATTTGTAACAACAGAAATGAAAATGGCTTTCCAGGTAAGCCACTCTGAGCTCCTAGGAAAGGCAGGATAAATCTAACCAATATATACATAAAACATTTTTGAAAGCATTCACCTTCATGATTCCATGCAGAATGACCAATAAAGTATACACAATATAATAATAATAATAATAATAATGTCCACTCACTTGCAATTGATCCTCCAGAATCGTAGCACTTTCCCCACTATTTTCATCAACAATGACTACCATGTGAGTCAACGAATTGACTTTAACCTGCTCTGCTTCAATATCTTTTTGGAGCTCCTGAAAGAATGGATTCCAATGTTAGAAAGATCAGATGCCATGAAAGTTCAGAGAACAAAATGGAAGCCACATTTTCTTTGGGGCAACATTCTAAATCAGGGGTGTCAAACTCAATTTCACTGAGGGTCGCATGAGAATTGTGTTTGACCTCGGGAGGTCTGGGGGGAAAGGCATGGCCAGCTCGACGTCACTCATCAAGGCTCCATTTTTGCTAGCAGAGGATTCCAGGAGGCTGTCATGGTCAAAAATGAAACCTCGGTGGGCCGCACGTGGCCTCTCTGAGCTCCATTTTACAGGCAGAGGGTTGCAGGAGGCCATCGCGGCCAAAAATAAAGTTCCGTTTTCACTGGCAGACGCACCACCAGCCGGTCCTTTGCTATTTCCAGGGCAGGCCCTCGGGCCAGATCTAAGCACCCTGCAGACCGGAACCGGTCCACAAGCCTTGAGTTTGACTTC